CAAACGCACGCACGCGCGCATGCACACACGCGCCATGCACACACGTGCACACTGCACGCACAACGCACACGACGACCCCAGCGCATGCATGCACGCACGTTTACATACACACGCACGTTTACATACACACGCACGCACGCATGCATGCACGCACGGTGTACGTGCAACACGCACGCCACCACGCCACGAACGTCTACGTGCACATGCATGCACGTACGCACGTGTACCTGTACACATACGCCACGTCGTACGCACAACGGCACTCATGCATACACGTGGCACCTGGGACACACACGCACGCACACATCACGGCATGCCGCATGCCGCACGTGTACGTAACACCGAACGCACACACGCACGCATGCACGCACGTGTACGTGCACACGCACGCACGCACGTGTACGTGCACAACGAACGTACGAACGTGTACGTGCACACGCACGCACGCACACGCACGCACGTGTACGTGCACACGAACGTACGAAACGAGTACGTGCACACGCACGCACGCATGCACGCACGTGTACGTGCACACGCACGTACGCACGTGTACTCACACGCACTGCACGCAACACACCACGCATGCAGCACGCACGCAGCACGCACTGTACGTGCACTACATAAACAGCGCTTTCTATCAGAACATGTGGTCATTCATCTGTAAATGTCAAGCAGCACGCTTCGCTTCTGCCAACCATGACACAGATAACAAATACACGTGACCTGATCTATGAACAAACTCTATACTGTGTAGCAAACCTCCCGTTTTCACAGACGACTTCTAAGGGAGGTCATATTTGAATAATTGAGGTTCTAAGTGATAATATTCTACGAATGAAATTTTATTTTAGTCTATTTCTATGAGCGCTAGGCTCAGGCCTACCTAGCCACAGGCACTTGAAGCGTTTCAATAAAATATAATTGCTAAATAAATACGAAATCTATTTACTACCAAAGTCTAATGTTTCTATACTCTCTTTCACTATTATGGCGACAGTTTCCTGTAAATTCCGTCCAAATCTCTATGACTATGTGCAACCAACGCTACGGCCGCCATTCCTCACGCGGCTGCAACAGTGCACACTGACACTCTATAAGGTCTAACCATTTATTTTTTATTCACTGTTTGGGTTGCGAGTCCACTCCAGTGAAAGAACGTCGTGAAGTGCAGTTCCTTCTGCGCAAGGACCGACAGTTCTTTAACAGACGTAGTTATGGCGGAATGGCACGACAGTACTGAACCCGCAAACAGACTCCATTCGAGCATTGACTCATCGCCCGTCCAGCTCAAATGCGGTCTGGCGTCCTAAAACTCACATTACTTTACGCACAGGGAAGAAAGAGAATAGTGGCAGAGTCTCACTGAGCGACTGGACCCACTTGAGTGGGACTATAATGCGAATGCACATTCAGAGACGAAGCAAAGAGAAGAAGAAGAATGAAGTACGGGAACGAAACGAAGTAGTGGAAAAGTTACGCGCGTAATATCTGCGCGCGTGCGACGTGAGCATAGATTATATAAACACAGGCGGAGAGATATACAGACATTAGATAGAGACTAATATAGTATATTATTCTATGGGGAGAGTCACTGGTCTGAGACAGGATGGGCGTGGTTATGTAATATAGATATCCGGTAGAGCTAGCGATCGCCCTTGTCGCCATCTTGAAAATAATTATTGTCCTGCAATCTCGTCGATTCTCGGATTAATAATTTAGACATCATTAATAATTGAAGAGAAAAAATGCAGTCAGTAAATTGAAATCTACTGAACGCCTAGCCGCACAATTAACATATAATAGCATGTATATATATTTTTTACGACGACGATTTTAGCACAACACGACGCACACACGCAAGCATGCCCACACACGCACACGCACGCACACACACACGCGCGCGCACGCACACACATACACGCACGCACGCACGCGCACACGCACGCACGCGCACACGCATGCACGCACACACACACGCGCGCGCACACACGCACACGCAGCAGCAGGACACATACACACACCACCGCGCGCGACGCACACACACACATACACACAGCACGCATGCACACGAACACACATATTATATATATATATATATATATAGGCCTATAGCTTATGTCAGACTTTCCGCTATATATGGTAATGGCAGCAGTGATTACGTAGCGTGAGTATTCGCTTGCTTTGTTATGTTTGATTTTGAGTTACATATACACTTCTAGTGCATACCTATGAACACTCCACGCAGGAAATGTTTATTTTCATTAAAGAGGAAATGTTATGATATATGACCGCCTCATGTCGCGTCGAGAACAACGTATGTGTCGCGTGGTATGCATGCATGGTGTGGAAGCATTCCAGTTAGGTGGATATGTTTCCATGAATCTGACTGATCGCGTGACGTCAGTGTGCCGTCAGTGTGCGTTGACTACAGTAAAAACCCGCGTATAAGAACATAGATTTTTCCAAGTTAGCCTCAATATGTTCTTATGTAAATGGTGCTTACTGAAAAATTAGGCTCAAAAGATTCTTAAATAAGTTCTTATTTGTTTCTACTTTTAATGAATATGTATAAGCTTATACTTGATTCAAATTGTGTTAAAATTTTCTTACAAGGACTGCAATTTTTGCTAATTAATACCCATGATGGGCTACAGTGTAAGTTTTTCAGTGCTTACCATACTGTATGATACAGTATGTATCCTGGTATGTATCCAAGGAAACAAAACAATATGCAAACAAATTCGTGCCAAAATAAGGTGCGTAAAAAAGGTGCTGGCACATTCATCGGTATTGTTGAGCTCGTCTTTTTTATTTTACCTGTGTTTCTTTTTAAGTCTTCATCTGCATGGAAAATTAAGAACCTACTTTAAAATCTTAGCCTAAAACAGGTTCTTATGTAAAGGGGTCTAAATGGGGAATTTTAGCCTAACAGGTTCTTAAAATCTGTTCTTATACGCGGGTTTTTACTGTATGCACATGTTTAAGCATCAAACATAACAGGCTTATTCCCTATACGTCTAACTAGTGCGTAGTGTACCTTTAGTCTATGGTTGGACTGCATATACAGTCTATAGTATATATATATATATATATACACCCTATTAATGGGTAGGCCTACATTATGACAAGTGAATCGTCTAAACAGTGGGTCATTAATGATTATATTTTTTGGTGGTGTGTGGTAGCAGGAGCACATCATGCATCACGTATATGTGATTCTGGTGGTAATAAGTACTTTCTGAATTGCATGCATTTCATGGTAAAATAGTTATGTTTTATTTATCTTTTTTATTTAGAACCCAACTAAGCCTTTAGAGTTTTTTTACAGAGCAAAATGATTTGCAAACTTTTAACATTTGTACTCGTGGTTATTAAATCGCGCCAATTCACCAAGGCATCATACTGATAATCTACACATTTCTATATAAACTGAATAGTGTTACTACATATACTCGAGTTTACATTGCAATGAAATACGTCTGCCAACACGAACAACAATTAGAACATAGATCTACCAAGTATTGATAATATCTTCTAGGTTATCGCCTCTCCGATCCTACATGGGCTTCCTCAGTTAACACGCTTATGTAACACCCCCGTCAGACCGGGGTGGCGTCCTTCCTGCGCTGCTACGGCGACGGAAAATAGGCCCAGAGCGCGTCAAGGTCGCCATAAGCGTCGTATAAGCGTGGTGGAAACGCCAGATATCGTGCTGTGATCGCCAATGATCGCCGAGTCACGGCATTTGTTTTTAGCATGTGTAACACAAACGCCAAGGTTCGGCGATCTGACCTGGAACGCGGTGAGAACGCGGTGGGGTCGCGAAAGTCGTGAGACAAGCGTCGTAATATCTCCATGAACGTAGTACACGCGCAGTACACGCGTGGCAGAGACGCTGCGAAAATGGTAACATTTGCAACGGCGACTTCATGGATCTGTCTCATCCGATCTGCCGATCTGTTTTATGCCGATCTGTGTCGGCCACGGCCACGGCCTCGGCCTATGGTAGCTTGTTTCTTCGACATCGTGTTTCTACTCAACAAACGCACAACTATATACAGTTAAAATTTCCGAAAATCTGACCAGCTTATATAGTCGCCGTGAGAACGTGGTAGAAACGCCGTGAGGTCGCCGTGCAGTCGCGATACACGTAGAGGACGCGTGGTAAGAACCCCATGAGCGTGGTGAGAGCGCAGCGGAGACGCCGGTGATCGCCGTTGCCAAGCCCCTAGATCTCAATAGAAACGCCATACGCGCGGGAGGTCGTGGCGGGCGCGTCATGAGAACGCGGTATGATCGCACAGGTCGCGGCTTTTTTTCAATTTTGTAATTTGTTGGGACTTTTTCTCGCGTTGTGTTCACGTTTGCCCGCGACCATGTTCCCCCTTCTTTTACACCTCTTGACCTTTGACCTTTGCCCCAACCTTCGACACCCCAACTTGTTTTCGGATTACTACCCCCCTACGTCCCGAATATCGTGACCGTACGTCGAGCGGTTAAGATTTGTGCCCACCTGTTGACGGACGGACGACCGGACGCACGCTCATGCGATTCTACAAGCTGCATAAAGATATCTACAGAGCTAAAAAGATATCTGCGTTGACTATGCACATGTTTGAGCATCAAACATGACAGGCTTATTCCCTATAAGTCTAGGGCGTAGTGTCCCTTCAGTCTATGGTTGGACTGCGTATACAGTCTATAGTATATATATATATACCCTATTAATGGTTACATTATGTCAAGTGGATCGTCTGAACAGTGGGTTATTAATGATTATATTTTTTGGTGGTGTGTGGTAGCAGGAGCACATCAAATATGTGATTCTGGTGGTAATAAGTATTTTCCGAATTGCATACATTTCATGGTAAAATAGTTATGTTTTATTTTTATTTTTTTAAATATTCAGAACCCAACTAAGCCTTTAAGAACATTTTTACAGAGCAAAATGATTTGCAAACTTTTAACATTAAATTTTGTACTCGTGGTTATTAAATCGCGCCAATTCACCAATGCATCATACCGATAATCTACACATTTCTATATAAACTGAATAGTGTTACTACATATACTCGATTTTACATTGCAATGAAACACGTCTGCCAACATGTGCAACAATTAGAACATAGATCTAATTGGGATGATATCTTCTGGGTTATCGCATCTCCGATCCTACATGGGCTTCCTCGGTTAACGCGCTTAGTATCGCCTACGTTGGTCTAGCGTGTGCCCTGACAAATTCTATGAGACTCGTAGGCAGCCTGTTCTCGTATGCAAGGCTGTGTCTGACGATAGAGCGCGCGCAGTGGCACTTCAGCGAATGATATTGCGCGCTCATTCTGCCATGTATCTCGTTGCTCGACTCCACGTTGCCGAGGCGGAAATGCTTTGAGTAAATCCGGCGCCAGAGTTTGTACGGCGTCTTTCCCCGTGCGTTCACCACGTCGACGTGTGCGCCGTGGTTGAACAGCAGCGCGTGCACTATCTGCACGCACCCCTCCCTCTCTCGCGCGTAAACATCGTCCCTCCATGCGAGCATCATCCTACAGAAGCTGTGCAGCGGGGTGTCGCCATCGATGTCACGTGTGTTAACCTGTAGAAGAACGCCGGCGGACTCGCACGTCTGTAGGAGAGCTGAAGCCGCTTGTACCACCGACTCCGCTTGTTCTGCTCGCTCAGTCATTCTGGAGATTCTCACCTCTACCTTGCTGCCTATTATAGCGAGCGGCGTTCTCTTGTTACAATCAACGAGGTTCGGGTTAGCGCCGTGTTTCAAGAGGTGAGTAATCATCTGTGTGAACGAAAGAAACCAGGATCGTTAACAACCCGATTTTAGGTTCGTTCCTTAAAGAACAAATTTCTCCGAGCATACTACATTTATTACGGTTGTCGATTACTAACTATTACTATTATTAAATTATAAACTATTAACCGATTACTATTACTGATTACCTTCATTATCTAGATAAAAATACATTGGAACATCGCAAAAATTGTCTCCGTCGTTCACAACGTACGCCCGCATTTTTCATCAGTCCCGAGTAGATTGCAGGAGTAGTGTAATGCAGTGAAACTATTTAACATATCTATTATTAACTATTAACCGATTACTATTACTGATTACCTTTACCATCTATAAGAAAATACATTCGGACATTGCTAAAATTCGGTCTCAATCATTCGCAACGTACGCCCGTAGTTTTACCTCGATATGAAGTCGATCACAGGAGTAGTGCAACGCGGTGAAACTTTTGCCGTCCACTTTTTCCGTCGCGGCGACATTGGGGTCGGCGCCGGCCTCCAGTAGCATGCACATGATGTCCAGCCGGCCAGAGACGACCGCGACGTGCAGGGAGGTCACTCCGTACGAGTTCGCGGCGTTGGCGTCGGCGCCGTGTGAGAGCAGCATCTGCACCACCGCCTCCTTGCCCTTATTCACCGCCATCATCAGCGGCATCTTTTCGCTCATATTCTGGGCGACGTTGGGGTCGGCGCCGGCCTCCAGTAACAGGCGCACGATGTCCAGCCGGTCAAAGCAAGCCGCTTGGTACAGGGTGGTCTGTCCGTATGAGTCCGCGGCGTTGGCGTCGGCGCCGTGTGAGAGCAGCATTCGCACCACCGCCTCATCGCCCTTATTCACCGCCATCATCAGCGGCATCGCTCTACTGTTCGTCTTGGCGACGTTGGGGTCGGCGCCGGCCTCCAGTAGCAGGCGCCCGATGTCCATCCGGACTAAGCAAGCCGCGTGGTACAGAGAGGTCTGTCCGTATGAGTTCGCGGCATTGGCGTCGGCGCCGTGTGAGATCAGCATCTGCACCGCCTCCTCCTCGTGCTCCATCACCACCATCATCAGCGGCGTCTTCCCGCTCTCCGTATCGGCGACGTTTGGATCTGCGCCGGCCTCCAGTAGCAGGCGCACGATGTCCAGCCAGCCAGAAAAAGCCGCGTAGTACAGGGAATTCCTTCCTTGCGAGTCCGCGGCGTTGGCGTCGGCGCCGTGTGAGAGCAGCATCCGCACCACCGCCTCCTCGCCATCCTTCACCGCCATCATCAGTGGCGTCGCCCCGTTCCTCGTCTCGGCGACGTTTGGATTGGCACCGGTCTCCAGTAGCAGGCGCACAATGTCCAGCCGGCCAAAGCAAGATGCGCGGTACAGGGTGGTCCGTCCGTACGAGTCCGCGACGTTGGGGTCGGCGCCGGCCTCCAGTAGCAGGTTCACGATGTCTAGCTGGCCAGAGCAAGCCGCGTGGTACAGGGAGGTCTCTCCTTGCGAGTCTGCGGTGTTGGCGTCGACGCCGTGCGAGAGCAGTATCCGCTCCATCATCTCCCTGTCCTCCTCCACCGCCCTCATCAGCGGCGTCTCTCCTCTATTCGTCTCGGCGACGTTGGGGTCGGCGCCGGCCTCCAGTAGCAGGCGCACGATGTGCAGTTGCCTGTAGCAAGCCGCGATGTGCAAGGAGGTCACTCCGTACGAGTCCGCGGCGTTGCCGTCGGCGCCGGCCTCCAGTAGCAGGCGCAGGATGTCCAGCCTGCCAAAGCGAGCCGCGTGGTACAGTGAGGTCTGTCCGTACGAGTCCGCGGCGTTTGGATCCGCGCCGGCCTCCAGTAGCAGGCGCATGATGTCCAGCTGGCCAGAGCAAGCCGCGTGGTACAGGGTGGTCTGTCCGTACGAGTCCGCGGCGTTGGAGTTGGCGCCGTGTGAGAGCAGCATCCGCACTGTCGCCTCATCGCCCTCCGTGACCGCTATCATCAGCGGCGTCACTCCCTTCTTCTTCTCGGCAACGTTTGGATTCGCGCCGGCCTCCAGTAGCAGGCGCATGATGTGCAGCTGGCCAGAGCAAGCCGCGTGGTACAGGGAGGTCTCTCCATACGAGTCCGCGGCGTTGGCGTCGGCGCCGGGTGAGAGCAGCATCCGCGCCACCGCTTCCTCGCCCTTACTCACCGCCTTCATCAGTGGCGTCGCTCCGCTCTCGGTATCAGCGACATTGGGGTTGGCGCCGGCCTCCAGTAGCAGGCGCACGATGTCCAGATGGCCAGAGCAGGCCGGCGACAGGACCCGCTCGTTCCCGCCGGCCACGGCTGGGTGCAGCATCGTTCCGTCGCCATGGTAACACGCGCGGAGGTCCGCTCCATTGTCTTGCAGCGCGGCTGCAACATCCGCGCTGGCTGTTTCGTAGGCGAGCATGAAAGGCGTTCGCCCGCGCTCATCTTCCTCTTGCAGGGGCGCGTCATGCAGCAGCAGCTGTTTCACAATCTCCATCTTCTCTTCCGCCCTGTCCCGCGAAAGTGCGCAGGCGACGTGGAGAGGCGTCTCCATGCGTACGTTCACGCACGATGTTTTCGCTCCACCTCGCAGAAGTTCTAACACTTTCTCAACGTTCCCACGTGAACAGGCAGCATGCAGGTCTGACATTCTTCTCCCAACTGTAGGCACGCACTGTGCGTCGTTCGGTTGCACGAGGGTCCAGTGCAGTTCACCTACCTAAAATGCACACTGATGTTCACGAAGGCATGTAGAGTTGATTGCAATGTTAATATAGTGCATGACAAATCGAAATCAGCTTTGTTCTCCACGTATTCACATTTTCGGTAATGCAGTGTCCAACAGAACGCTGAAAAAGGTTATTTTCCTAATAGCACAAAAGCTGAAGTCCAAGGCCAGGAAGCAAATCGGAAACAAATAAAGTGATTAAGCCTGGAGGATTGCCAAAGCATGGACACATCCACTTAAATATGCCTGGGGACGACCGCTTCCCAATGCTCCACCCGCTTTGCCAAGTGCAACGCGCAACTCAGTAGCTAAACCTGCGCTGAAGCGTAAAGGTGGTAAGACAAAAATTAACCAGTGCAGTCCTGAACTGTTTTGAACGGAATAGTGGAATAGGAGAAAGTTTAGAAAACAACATGGTTAAAGAACTAGCAAGAAGTGGTGTATCCATATGGAATCTAATTCCGAGATATTATTCATTTAGTGGAGGTGCTTTGATCTAACATTAAGTGAGACAGGACAGTCCAGTGGATGGGTAAAGCTAAATAGTTAAGCAGCTAATGGGTAAGCATAAAGGTGTTTAGTTGGTGTAGGGACACCAGTTCCACGTGTCAGCTAGTTACCACCTAATACTTACTTTAATTTATGTATTTAGACGCTAAAGCCTGCATGGCTAGATAACAGTCTATTGCTGCAAGTAAAAATATTAATTAAACAAGTGCCGCAGAGCGACAGCGTTCAACTGACGTGTACTGTAGCCGGGTGCGAAATTTTTTTCCCAGTTGAGCTCCGGACCACAGTCAATCAGCGCACTCCATTCACTCGACTTCCTCAAAGCAACAATGTAAAATTTATACACCCTAGCCCTAACCCGAGCCCGAACCCTAACACTAACTATAATCCAACCAGGTTTGTCTTATATACGTACCATATATTGCAAAACACTATCTGTGGTGGGTCCGGAGCTCAAGTGAGAAAAGAAATTTCGCTAGCTGGGTATTCTTCCGAGAAACTCACTGGCAACCGAAACAAGTGCGCCCCCCTGCCACCGCGTTCGCACTCAGAGCATCTACTATATAATAGTAGAAAGTGTCGTTTTCCGTATCTCCTCCGAACCCGTGCCGCGTGTGCTCACGCGAATCGAGCTGGGGCCCCTTCTGGACGTCGCGAATACATTCCGCTACGTTAGAACGCGATTTTCCATCGTAAAGTGACTTTTGGAGACAATTTTCTAAAAAGTTATGTGCCCGAAGAAACTTCGGTATTCGTCGGAAACTTTCCCGCACCAACTTTTAAGATCGCAAAATCCGCATGCGCAGTCCAAGCAGAGCACGTGAATCACCTTGTGATTGACGTGCTCTCATAAGAAACCTGCACCAAATTTTAAGATCGCCAAATCCGCATGCGCAGTCCAATTAGAGCATGTGAATCACCTGCTACCGCAACGTCCAAGATCATGGCGTCGACGAAGACGGCTTGGAGTAAATCTCGATTTTCATGCTTTTCAACCTTCATAATTTTTTCTAAACCTGACTTACTTGATTTTTGGTATTTCCTGTACATCCAGCAATTGTCAATAAACACATATCACACAGTGCCATGTCATAAAATACTACAAAATACTGTACACTTCACAAGTCCGCATCCTTAATAATTATCAACCCCTCATAGGATGAAACGATAGGACGAGGGAGCTACCGGTTTTCGTTTTACTTTCGTTCTCCCCTCCCAGGCGCCCGTCACTCCTACGCAGTCATAAACATGCTCCACACACGGCATCGCTTCGCGCCATAAACATGAAACAATCTATCGCCCGTACATCAATCGGCACAGCTGCTTGCCATGACGGACGTACATCGTACGCACTAGCGGCAGGCGCGGTACACGCTGGCTATCTGTAACACCCGCGGTTGACTTCGCTGTCAGTCTACTGTCAGGTACTGTTCAAGGTATAATTTCAATTTTTACATTCTTTCCCCCCCCCCCAATTTTCTCAACGAATTTCACGTTTCACAAAATTGACCCCTGCGACTGTCAAATCCGCCGATTTCCGCGGATCCGCGGAAAAATCTCATCCCGGAGTCAGTATGTATGCGTGTGTGTGCGTGCGCGTGCGCGTGTGCGTGTGCATGCGCGTGTGCGTGTGCGTGTGCGTGTGTGTGTGTGCGTGTGCGTGTGCGTTGTGTAAATTGGATTGTGTGTGTCGTGGATGCGCGTGTTGATTGTGGGCGTCGGCGCATGCGTATAGTTGTGTGAATGCGTGTGCGCGTGCGTGCACAGCAGTGTGTGTTGATGTGTGGTGCGTGGGTGCGCGTGTTGTGCAAATATTGACAACGGGAGGTGTAAACTTTGCCCGGCCGCCGTCCACTGACCTTTCCAGAACATACATCTTCAACTACTCAATGCATTTTGGCTTTTTTTTTAATTAATTTGACTTATTAATGATG